TTTTGTGCAAAAATCCTCTCACATGTTTTCAAGTGTATTAACAGCTGTATGGCACATGTGTATTAAATTTGACACATAGGGGTAAACGGAATAACCCTTTGACCTCTAACGTTGGGCACTAAATACACAGCTGTAAAAAAATTCAATTATAGTGAATAAGATTTTTTAAACATTTTATAATGCAGTATTTAACATTTATCTTAAAAAAAAAATTTATTTTATAAGGCAAAACCCTTTTTATAAGCAAAAAAACTGAAAGTTTTCATTCGTTATGTATAAATTCAGTTACTGACTTGTATTGCTTAGTGATTAGCGATATTCCTGAAATGACTAGTAAAACATAAGTAATGAATTGAATGTGGCACGGCAATTATCCGATAGATTTATTAATAACTTCCGGCCCCATCTTAGCCTCACCCAGTATTCACTGAGTGAAGCACTTTAGTATGTTAACCAGTCATGTAAAATATTTTCAATTTATCGATACTTCAAAATTTTACACTTATTTTTGACTATTCTTAGAATGAAAAAAAATATGAACAAAAAAAAAATTTGTTTAGAATCCATGCAGTTGTGGTCAAATGAAAAGAGTGGAAAAAGAACAATACACGGCAAAGAGTATCTATACTACCTACCTACACATAGGTACATACTTGTGTTCAACAGTACGTTCGTATGCATTACTTCCTCTGTGTCTCTATCTCTTTTTGGATAACTGTACATAGTTGCGCACGTGCGCCAGCTTTCTTATCTCTTTACTAAAGGCGGGTTAACATGGATTTTGAGTGAACACAATCGGAAGATACTGGGACAATTTTGAATTTTGGTCAAATTTTTATATTTTAAAATAATTTTATTTACCAAGAAGAAATTTTGAAAAATGATGAAAAATTAATACTAATTCTGATATTAATTCATCATTTTTCACAAGCACAAAATATTAAGATAAGCAATAAAAAAGGCCTACCTGCATGAGTGAGATCGAGAGAGCCAGCGCGACAGCAGAGAATCAATGGCTCTTTCTATCTCACTCACTTTTACAGGTACTGCTAAAATAACTTTTTCATTTTTTTTCTCAACATTTTGCTCTTGTCGAAATGAAAGTAAAAGTGCTTATTGATAGAAAACTTTTCGTCCTACACGCTGGTATTTTTATTTTTTCTGTATCTCAAACCATTAAAAGATATAAGAAAACTGAACTCGGGATCAGTAAAGTTTGAATTTTTTTTCAACATTTATATCTATTTAATACATGTTCACTTTTATTCTTGTACATACGCTTTATAAGTACAATGTATGCTATACATATTGTTCAATTATATATAGCTATGTATACGGTTAGTATACTTTAATACAAAAAAACTACATATAAACGACAATATACTTATATTTACCATATATACATATATGTAAATATATAAGTTCCACCACGTGTATACGTAGAGAGGAGTGCCCAGTGGTGGGGTGAACAGCAACGGAGGAGCAGACCAGACCATTTGTTGCATATTTCTTCTCACGCGACTGTTTACTGCCCACCATAAGAAGTTTCACATCAAAAATTTTTACGAGACACACCAAATTAACATTAACTATTGACCTTCCTCTACAATCTCTACAAAAGAAAATATCGAAAAATTGAGTAGCAAGATTGTATTTTGCAATAAACTTTCAGAGCGGTTCAGCGCGCGCAGCTAGCAGCCCCCCCGTCTCGGCTTTCTCAGAGATTCACTGAGTGGAATGATAGTGTGTTGATACGTAATTCGAATTAAAAAAATTTTGGTTTGGAACCCATGCAGTTGTAGTCAAATAATCAGCTGTAAGGAAGTTTGAAAAAATGTAATGGGGCTGAAAAATACCGTGCGTTCATTACGCCATAAAATAGTTGTTGATCCTAAAGAGCCATAGATTTGTACTTCCTTACGTTATGATAAATTAAAAGGGCTACTCACTTCATGACTTCTTTATTCGTCAATTTTGACACTGCTGTTTTAATATCGACAAATGTTCTGCATCAGTTTCTTGATGCCTCAAATTGTATGAATTTAAAGCATTTGAAATTTTACTTCCAGTTTGCCCTTTTGCGACCATAAGCATTGTTCAAAATTTTATGAGCCCTCTGGGCTGTTGTTTGTCAACTATGATAAAATGTTACATATTTGTTGACAAAGTAGTACACATTCGATGGATTTAAAAAGGACCGGTGAGCTAAGCTCTTTCGGCAAACATGACTGCTTAGATACCTCAAGGTGGTCTTCTCTGGCCCAATGGTGTAGCACCAGACTGATCAAGAAAAAAAATAACAACTCTCTGAAAAGTTGGAGCTAGTTGTACGGCTTTTTTTCAATGTCTCTTGGTGTTACGTCAGAGACGTTGGCATCCAAAGCACCTTTTTTTCAGTGCTCAGTCGTTTTGGTGATCCGAAGTGAGGAGATTGGTTTGTGACGCTCGCCTAATGTCCTGTTTGCTCAAGTTAATTTCTCTTTTATACCTTTACTGTTAGCTTGCTCGAGGATCTAGAAGCACGACTAATATCTCTATTGATGATGTACTGTCGGTGAAAGAATAACAAAATCGACCATTTGCTCAGGGATATTATAACCAGACTCACTTGCTTTGATAGCAGGTGGCTCCGATTTTACTTTGACACTATCTAGTAAACCCAACTAAACTTAAGTTAAAAGCTAGAGTATTTTTGCAAAAATTTGAGCTTATTTACTGATATTGTTATTTCTTTATTGCAAAAAAGATCTTGCTACCAAATTTTTTGAAATTTTCTTTGTTGGAGATTATAGAGTGAGGTTGATTATTAATGTTCGTGTGTTATAACATATGAAAATGTGTTTGTTTAGCACTTTTGTGGAGCTCTGAAAATCGGAAAACTGCATTTTCCGAAAGTTTGGGAATTTTTTATTTGAAAACTGTGAAGCTAAGGTTTCAACATCTCTTTTAGTTTTTTGTTCTAAATGTGCCAAAAATTCTGAAAATATTTTTTTCAGATCAAAAAAACAACTTCGACGCAGTTTTTTATGAAAAAATCGTTTAAACAATACATGACCACATTTTTGAGTGACAAACTGAATTTTTGGTAGAGTACTACATTCTGAAAAAGAAAGCACAACAAAGAATAATTTTTTCCGGTTCGTCACTGATTGAGCCTGGTCTACGATAGACTACCAGAGTGCTTCAATAAAGCTACCATTTGATGATAAAAAGACATTTTTTTTTTATATTTAACAATCCACTTAGCTATCTCCTTCTTTTTGTTTAGTACCCTGCATAATAGACTAGTACAATTGTCAAAATCGTCCCCCTAATAACTTAACTCCTGATTTGTTTCTGAAACTGCTTTTAAATGGCGATTTACATATCATATTCAAAAAGTAACAATGAAGTCTTACCACGTGGTTTGTGACTAAAAAATGACATAACTACATTTTGAAGAATTTGGAGCATCTTATGGCAATTGTAACAACTTTTATATGATATCTTATTTAATATAACAATTTATTAATACAATTTTAAATTGTAGATTATTGAGCAGGCTACAACTTTTACGTTTAACTTTTTAGAATACAACCTACAAATTTCTTAATATTTAGTAAAACCTGAAAAAAATAGTATTTTTACGACTGATTTGCTAATAACAGACGATGCGGTGGAACTTAATTATTATTTTTTATATACGCTGCAAACAACAGTAGTTCAAAGCGATTACAAAATATTAGTAGTTAGGAGTTTAAACAAGAAATTAACAATTAGACGTTTAATTCTCGTAATTTAATAGAGCTCCTCTTCTTTATAGACTTTATGGTATACAGCTCCTTCTTTTACTTTCGATATAGTTTACTATTATTAGTACATAACTTTAAAGACACAATTTAATTGTCATTACTAACACAAAACAATACAACTTATAAAAATAAACTTTTAGATATTTACAAATAGTATAACTAACAGACTTTTTCTTTAACAAAATTAATAGTACACTAGCTAATATACAGTATTGATAAATAAATTGAGATAATTGCTCTTAGGAGATGACTTTTATATAAACATTAATTATTTTTTTTGTAAATGTGTTTTTTTTCTTTTCTAATGATAAAATTTTTAAACTTTGCAGAGTCATTATTATCGAAAGTCGCCCACGAATAAAGCTGACTGTGTACTTTGTGACTCTCGGAAGTGTTAAATGACAACCGAAGTAAGCAACGAAGCCCAAACTCATCGAGTCAGCAAGATCCAGTTCGATGATAAGTAAGTAAGATAAAGAATGTAATAAAGGCTAAATAAAGGTCAAAAAAATGAAAGTTGAATACTTTTAAATAGTAAAAAAATTGCACCTTATAAATTAGTAATTAAATGGGGGTATAAAAAGAAAACAAGGATTAATAAGGTAAATAAATCTCTACGATAAAAGAAGGAAAGAAAAATGTGGTTAACCAATTTTATATCCCTAATACCTCTGTACGCACACAGTCTTTCTCTTTTTTATTTTTTTTAACAAGTAAATAACCAAATAGCTGGACGTACTGCTAGTCCCGCGGTCTATCAGGAAGTGTGAGACCCCAGTCTACAAGTATCCAGTTTTTACTGGATGATGAAGTTAAATAATTTTTACTAATCATAATTATTTAACACTTTCTATGACGCCCACAGTCAAAAAGACTAGGCTAATCGGCTATGATTAGTTAGTTGTACACATTATCATAATCTAGTGATTGACGAGATGGCCAATAACTTATTTTGAATTTTTGAGATCAGTCGTTGATTACCACATAATTTTTGATATAAGCTAAAGATTCTTTAAAATATTCGTCAAAAAAATACTTTATATTGTCTATTCATTGAATACAACCCTTTATATTTTTATTTGTAGTAAGATATGTTTTTAAGTAATAATTTTGACATCAAAATTATCATATTTTTTAAGTACGAACTTAGTTAGAGAAAAGAAAAGTTATTAAATAACAAGTACCCGATTATCGTAAAGTAGCACTCACCAGAATCTGTAATACGAATGTCACTATCTAGCTTGCTTGAATCATCTACTATTTGCGGGAACCCACTACTTTCTCCATGGTTATGCGTGTTCTCCTCAAGATCAATGTCTGGTCGTTCTACGCGAACAATACTTTTGCTTAACAAACGGCGTGCCTCCTTTACATGCTTTTCCATTACTTCATCCTGACACTCGATTTTTGCTAGTGCTTCTGATAAGCGAACCAAGCTTTCCAGTTGTCTTACAGTCACCCGCCAAGTTGATTTTTTACCATTTTGGCTTTCTCTTTGCCGTAAATCAGTATAAGTTGTAATTAATAATTTCCCAGCAGTCTGGAAAGAAGAAATCAAAAAGTACATATAACTTATACTACATATCTTGGAATGATTATGCCAACATAAACATCGAATGGACTCAGTTAATGAAGAGAAATGTAACCTCAAATAATATAATATGGGCCATTCAGCATTTATAACTTGTCATAAGCTACATCGATATCAGTCATTGTGTCATGACATAACATAAGTCTCGTAACATAGGGACTTAATTGATACTTGTCAGACTGTTCATTGTTAAAAATTTTTAGAATTTTAAAGTTTCATGAAAACTTTTTTATGTCTAATTTGTAAAAATATTATTTTTTATGATTGATATACAAAGTACCAAATCTTCCTTGCATGCTAATTAACAAAAACGTGTATAGTAACAATATAAATCATAATAATGAAGATAATAACTTGTATAATGACGATATTAATAATAATAATGAAGATGGTGATGACGATGACGACGACGACGATGACGCTGTTACATTAATCGCATTGAAAATATTTTTTACATTGAATTTTTCTGTGAATTTTGAATAAATATTTATAATCTCTATAACATCAGCACAACGAATTACTCAAGTCTAAGCTTGCGCTTGATAACTCGGAACTTACAATGAAAGTGTAGGTGGGACGCGGGGATAGAGAACAGTTGAGAATACGTCGTAAAACACCCGAAAATAAGGGACAAAAGCTTTCGAGCAAAAGGAATCAAGTTGTAATATCTTGAAGCAGCTGTTGTGTTGTATCGCAATACACTTCTTCGCGACGCGCTTAGGGGTTGTCAGTACTACCCGGAGCGGTGTATAGAAGGTGTCCCGTTTCGCGATCCAGAAGCTACCAATACCGTCACTTGTTAAGATAATTGTCTTAGATCTGATGTATGAACTACTGATTTATTTATTCCCGTGGTTCAGAGAGTATCGATACTGCAACGATTGTCGGAACGAAAGAACAAAAAGAAAGGTTTAAGCAACTAAACAATTTTTAACAACTTACTTTCATTTTTCTGAGTCAAAAATTGAGTACACGTGGTGAACCAGCGCGAGGTGTCCGATGCTGAATGATGAAGATAAATAGTACTGCACCTGTAGCGAGTGAACATAATTGGGTTTATGGGTGGTTTTGACTGATTATAATGATGCAAAAATAATTCAGAATTTGAGGTAGAATTTTGGACATGTTTTTTGCTGATATTCGTTGGAGGGGAAATCAGCACACGTGCCTTGGGGAATAATAAGTTCCATTAACTGTGTTGGAGGCAGATATGCGGACTTTCTCACAATATATCTGAGTCAAGAAAAGGGGAAAGAGCCAAGATCTTCCTGTTTTCCTTTACAATTGAAAGAGTAACAAAATTTAATTGTATTACAAAGTAGGCTATTGCAGTTGGTTTATAAAATCATTAGTGCTATAAAAAGTAGTTACTCCGTAAACTATGTGTCTGCGAACATGAACGGTAAAAATCGGAGAATTCCTTGAAAGTTAATGAAGATCTGCTAGGTTAACCGTATTTAATACTTCTACGTGTTACCTAAGACTTTCTTGCTACAGGATAAGCATGTATAGGTTGTTTTGTGTTTCAACTAGTCAATAATAATTATTTAACAACTAAAATAAGTTTTTTTAATCCCAAGTAGCATGTTCATACCTAATAATACTTTTTTTTTAATTTTATAAAAATAACATAAATTTCTAGTATGACATGAATATAATGTATGAGTGGGCATAATGAATATTACTTTTTTATGTGCTGATTTTAAGTACGTCACGAAATAAATTGATACTCAAGAAAAATCGCGATATTTACTAACAAAATACAACCGTGAAAGGAGAAAAAAAAATTTTTTTTGTTAAGGCACTATTTAATAGGTATTCTTTGGCCACAAAGTATACTCAGCACCTAAAAAAAATTACATCAGTTGTTAAATATTCGTTACTGTTCAAGCAAACGCTTGTAACAGATCATTTTCCATAAGATGCTGTGTATTCGTGTTAGTTAGCATCGACAACTTTTCCCCTGTAGGTGGCGTTGTTTCAAATTACTGCACAAAGCGAATTTGTCATAATACTAGCATAAAATATTATTTTCGTTAACTCTAAGTTATTCTAGCATTATATTTCAGTGCAGTTGTCCCCAATTAAACTTTTGCATTTGTTGTTTTTTTCTGAAAATGTTTTTAGCTATTTGTGTATGGAATAATATTATTTTCCTATTTCCGGTCAGCATAGGCCAACGTGCATATGCATGAATCATAGTTTATCATTGGGCACGTTGGTCCTCGTAGACGAGGCGAAATCAGCAATCGACCGGAAAAATTCATTCACCCGCAATTTTTTAGCACCGTCTTGTTTAAAATGTGCTACTGTATGGGGAAGTAAAGTTTGCCAGGCGGAAATGTGGTCAGAAATTGTTTCAACAAATTTTTTTAAAACAAATTATAAAAATAAGTTTTTTCGAGAAACAAAAAATAGTTTCTTATTTTATTTTTTGGCCCATTTCGAACAAATAATCAATAATGTATGTATCTTAACCCCACAGTTTTTGAGTAATAAAATTCCCAAAGTTTTGAAAAATGCGTTTTTTCCGATTTTCAGACCTCCACGAAAGTGCTAAATAAACTTATTTTTATATGTTATAACACACGAACGTTAACTATCAACCTTCCTCTACAATCTCCAAAAAAGAAAATGTTGAAAAGTTGGGTGGAAATATTGTTTTTTACAATAAATGTTCAGGGCATTTTAGAGCGTACTCACATGTTAGTGTACACCTATATATACGTTTCGTGTCTCAGCGTATAGTAAACATTGTTTCTCGAAAAAATTTATTTTCACAATTGGATTTAAAAAAATTTGTTTAAATAATTTCTGACCACATTTCCGCCTGTCACACTTTACTTCTGCATACACTAGTACATTTTAAACAAGATGGTGCAAAAAAATTGCGGGTAAATTAATTTTTCCGGTCGTTTGCTGATTTCGCCCTATCTATTGCTCAAAATGCTTTTGAATTAACATGGTAAGTTCTGAAGAGATGAGGGAAAAAAAAATTAATAGATGATATATTAACGATAGTTTACCGACATTACACTTTCTAAGTCATTAAACAGTATTAATAATAGGAAGTGAATAGATCTTGAAAAAAATTTTGTCAGATTATTGACTTCTCTTTTTTAATAAACCAAATCCTTAATTGAATAGATCGTTGTCTTAAAAGGTTTAAATCAAATGCAAATTTTTCGTGTATTGAAGATATACTTATACCGTAAGATATTCATCAACTTTTTACTATGATAAATATATTTAAGTGTTTTTGATTCTATTAGACTTGATCTTTTTGTAGATTCAACAAATAAATGTTGTAATGGAGGTGGTGTCAGCAAGAGTTACTTTCGACAAATAAGAATTCGTTGGATTTAATGCCACAGTATTTGGATATTATATAATTTACTGTACTACTTAAACAATTTTACGCCACGATTTTTGAAATAAGCTAGAACCACGAATTAATTATCGAAGCACAAAAAAATTCCCTTTACCACAAAAAACAAAAAAAAACCATGTTTAGAATGACACCCTTCCCCCCATGTTCAAATTTTGTTCACTTCTCAACAAATTCAAAATTTTGAGACGGTGGAGATGGATCAAAAAGAGGGGTGGAGGGAGAGCTTTAGAGGAGAGTGTGGGGATCGAGCGGGGGAGGTAGGAGGAAACTTGCTCAAATCTAATTAGAGCTAATCACGTAAAAATAAACAAATAACTATGTAAATTGAAGGGAGGCTGAGGAGCTGATGGAAAGCGGGAAGGAGTGGAGGGGAGCAGGGGGAGCTGCGACTCACTTTCTTTCATACAACTATAAAGATATATTTACCTGAAAAACTTATCGCTTAACAAAAATAAAACGTCAAGTGAGTTTATTGTGTTTAACTTATACTTTTACAAGAATTTGTAAAGCCTTTATAGAGAGAAAATGAATAGTATCATTTGTAAGGAATCGTCAGCTTTGAAAGTTGTGAAATCGAAAGCTAACAAAGGTCAATTTTCAAGTAAAAACTAATACTTAACATTAAAAAAAATTTATCTCGTTAGTCGAAGAAACCTAGTGTACAAAAAAATGGATTAAAGGACGTGGTTCGTACAAGGCTATAATGTGGTTTTATGAGTAAGCATTGCCACTTTTTCCCCTGTAGGTGGTGCTATGTCAAACTGCTGCAGAAAGCGCGAGTCCCACTGAATTCATTACGAAAAAATTTGTAGAAATAGTTTGAAATTATGGTGAACTATGGTATGATATAGTATGATATTTTATTTCTAGGGCTCTTTTTGGCTTTTGCTATATCAGAGACCTTTTTACTTTTAATTTTTTGCCTTAACAGCACGATGAACGAGTCTTTCGTGTGGGTCCCTTGCAAAGTTTTCCTCAGACGACTCGGTCATCCATACTTTCTGGGTACTATTTACGGGGCGCAGCTATTGTCTCAAGCACACCTCAGCTATTATCAAGTGTAATGGAAGAATCTTTTCCAATAAACCATCTAATTCGCTGTATCAACCTCCTTATAACCGACAGTGACTTTACCCGATGAGCTGGCCAGGTGTTGGCTTCTCTTCAAAAAGAAAGCCCCGGAGGTTCAGGCGTCACTAGAAAAATCGATTATTTGTTTTAAAAATCGGATAAATAGTTTTTAAGCATCCTGGGTACTAATCTCATCGAAAAAGAGCAAGAAAAAATCTCGACGATTTTTGACGGGATTCGAACGTTCTCCCGTTCCCAACTATATATAGGAAATCAAGCGGGATTTTGGTAAGGTTAAATGTGCGTTTTTGCACTTTGAAAGGAAAGTTTCAACTGTAAAAAACTAATTGAGTTGGGAAAAAATAGCTAAGGTATTGTCATTTCCTCAAAAATATGTTATTGAAAGGCTTTTATCGTATTACAATCGTTGAACGTGTAAAAAAAATAAAAATAGAATTGCACCCATAAAGCCTGAGCTATTTTTCCC